TCATCGGAGAATTCCGTTCCACCTTCGCAAAAAGCTCGATACCGAACTTGACAAACTTGAACGCCAGGGCATTACGCCCGGGTTATCGTTGTCACACCAAAACCGAAGAACCCTGATGAAATTCGCCTCTATCGATATGCGCCAACCCAATCGTGCGATCCATCGTGAACGTCACACTACGCCGACTATTGATGACCTAATTCATGATCTAAACGGTGCTACCGTTTTCTCTAAAATTGATTTGAACTCTGGTTACCACCAACTCGAACTCGCACCCGAAAGCCGCTATATCACAACGTTTTCCACGCACAGAGGACTTCGCCGCTACACCCGCTTAAATTTTGGTACGTCATCCGCCGCCGAAGTCTTTCAAGATGCCATCCAACAGGTTCTCAGTGGTATCGAAGGTGCTCGTAATGTTAGCGCGCATTTTTGTGCGCGTCATGCCGTTTTTGAACGTTTACGCTCTAAGAACCTTACGTTGAATGCCAAAAAGTGCGAGTTCAACAAATCCAGCATCGAGTTCTTTGGGTATATATTCTCCAGAAATGGTTTCTCCCCAGACCCCAAGAAAGTCTCTGCTATCAACAATACCAGTCCCCAGTTTCCTCGGTATGACCAACTACTGTTCCCGGTTTATCCCCAATTATTCCACCATCACTGAACCCCTCCGTACGCTTACCAAATCCGACCAGCCCTGGACAAGGACATCCCAGCATCAACACGCCTTTGATCAGCTGAAGCATCTTCTCACCAGCGACACCGTTCTCTCCTACTTCAACCCCCACAACGCAGCCACCATAATTGTCGAGGTGAACGAGGTGAACGATAAAACAAAACAAATACAGACGAGATTATGTGAGAGTTTATGCATGTTTTTATAGTTTCAAACTTTAAATAAATATCAAAAAACATTCGCGACAATGTTGTTGCCTATGCAAGTCGTTCTCTCACTCCCGTAGAACAACGGTATTCCCAAACAGAACGAGAAGCCCTCGGTGTACTGTTTGCGTGTGAACATTTTCATCTTTACATTATACGGCGCGAAATTCAACATCATCACAGATCACAAACCTCTTGAACGCATTTTTACCAATCCCGCTGCTCGTTCCAATGCCCGATTAGAACGCTGGGCCTTCAAGCTTAAACTATATCACTTCACCATTTCCTATTCTCCTGGCAAAACCAACCCCGCTGATTATCTGTCCCGTCACATTCTAGCTACAACCCACCCTTCCACTGCATCCGACCAGGCTGAAGAATATATCGCGTTCTTAGCAGATCATACCACCCCAAAAGCTATGACCGTTTCTGAAGTGAAACAATCCACCCGTGCCGATCCCACTCTGCAAGCCGTCATCGAAGCCCTCCGTAACAACACCTGGCACTCGACGTTTGAGACACCCAGTCCCCTTGTCAACTCCCAGGACCTCCACGCTCTTTACAATATCCGCGACGAACTGAGTGTTTCTGATTATCATGATCTCCTTCTTCGCTCTCACCGTCTCATCCTCCTACATGCCCTTCGTCAACGTGCTCTCCACATCGCCCATGAAGGTCACCAAGGCCTTACCAAAACCAAACAGCTGCTCCGCGAAAATATTTGGTTTCCTGGAATCGATGGGCTTACAAAAAAGCTAATTGACACCTGTCTCGCCTGTCAGGCAACAGTCGTTCAACAGCCATTTGAACCCCTACGCATGACCGAGTTACCACAGGCCCCTTGGCAACAACTCTCTGTCGATTTCTGTGGCCCTCTTCCCTCCGGCGATATGCTCTTCGTGGTAATTGACGAATACTCGCGCTATTCCTAGGTTGAGATTGTCCCGAAACTTGACCGCATTTTATCCGTGCATGGCATTCTTCCTGAAATCAAGTCTGACAACGGACCTCCATTTCAAAGTCACTCTTTCGCCCAGTTCGCGCAATACATGGGGTTTCACCACCGAAAGATCACTCCGGAGTGGCCCAAAGCCAATTCTGAACGTTTCATGAGAACAATTCAGAGAACACTCCGCGCTGCTCACCTCGAAAACAAGAATTGGAAGCAAGAACTGTTTCTTTTCCTCCGAAACCACTATGCGACACCACATTCCACCACAGGAGTTTCCCCTGCCGAGCTCCTCTTTGTACGAAAATTAACCGTCAAGTTACCTGAAGTAATCCCCACGTCACCATCACGATCCCAATTCGCCGATATCGATCTCAAAAAGAATGAAAAGATGAAAGAGTATGCTGATACCACAGCCAAAGCAAAACCACACAGCTTTCAAGTTGGTGACACTGTTCTCGTTTGTCGAAAACGCGTCAATAAACTATCCTGATCGTACATCCATACACTATCGTCAAACATACACTATCGATCAAACATCCATACACTATCGTCAAGATCAAAGGTAATATGATAACGGCAAGAAACGCGCTACATAACAAGAAACAGCTCGCAGTTCAAGAAAATCACTATCACCACACATCAACAAGATCATGCAGCAGACCGTTTTGACGACGAGGAGATCAACATTCCAACACCGGACCATCCTGCGGAAATTAGGCGTTATCCCACAAGAGAAAATAGGAGACCTCCAGAACGCTTAAACATTGAATATCAGCACTAACAATATTTAGACTATGTTTTATTACTAAATATATATACTTCATTTCAGATCATTGGTTTTAATTAGGTCAAGTTACTTCTTATAAACAATGCCCGACGAACCTCCATTCAAAACAAGGGAGGGATGTAATAATCTGACATCATGTACTTGTGACGTCACTTGTATATAGCTAGCATTCCACGGATATTAAATTGATTATTGTGATAACCACTCAAAGAGCGTGTCTCGTATTATCATACTATAAGAATACTACGGTAACCACTACCACTTTGGATTAATATAGCTACTGAAGACCTTAGTTAATTGTCATATTTCTTAATGTGTTATTTTAAATCCGGATTTTAATATTCGCAGGACGGGATTCCCGTCCCGCGGGACAGGATACGGGATTGTTAACTTTCCTGTGATTCAATGATCGGTACTGTAGGTCTCCTGTCAAAATGACCGGTCAACTTGATTTTAGCTGAGCAGTCAAAATCTGTTTTTGTCCGGTCGTTCATACACTTACACTAACAGGGAAACAATACTTTATAATATAGCACAAAGAAAGATAATGAAAGAAATTTTCCAACATTTCCATTTCGACATGTCAACACGGCTCTTAGCCAATCAGCGTTCAGAATTTACAAATGCTATATTATAATCAACTATATCAACTGATCAGAATTTTGCATTGTGTAGACAATGCGTATTTCGTTTCTTGGTGTTCTGTCTGTGCACAGTCCCTCCTTTCCTGTTAAGGAGGGACTGCTCACAGTCTAGACTGGAACTGAAAGTAAATCTTCAATCAACTATATCAACTGATCAGAATTTTGCATTGTGTAGACAATGCGTATTTCGTTTCTTGATGTTTTGTCTGTGCATAGTCCCTCCTTTCCTTTTAAGGAGGGACTGCTCACAGTCTAGACTGGAACTGAAAGTAAATCTTCAATCAACTATATCAACTGATCAGAATTTTGCATTGTGTAGACAATGCGTATTTCGTTTCTTGATGTTTTGTCTGTGCATAGTCCCTCCTTTCCTTTTAAGGAGGGACTGCTCACAGTCTAGACTGGAACTGAAAGTAAATCTTCAATCAACTATATCAACTGATCAGAATTTTGCATTGTGTAGACAATGCGTATTTCGTTTCTTGATGTTTTGTCTGTGCATAGTCCCTCCTTTCCTTTTAAGGAGGGACTGCTCACAGTCTAGACTGGAACTGAAAGTAAATCTTCAATCAACTATATCAACTGATCAGAATTTTGCATTGTGTAGACAATGCGTATTTCGTTTCTTGATGTTTTGTCTGTGCATAGTCCCTCCTTTCCTTTTAAGGAGGGACTGCTCACAGTCTAGACTGGAACTGAAAGTAAATCTTCAATCAACTATATCAACTGATCAGAATTTTGCATTGTGTAGACAATGCGTATTTCGTTTCTTGATGTTTTGTCTGTGCATAGTCCCTCCTTTCCTTTTAAGGAGGGACTGCTCACAGTCTAGACTGGAACTGAAAGTAAATCTTCAATCAACTATATCAACTGATCAGAATTTTGCATTGTGTAGACAATGCGTATTTCGTTTCTTGATGTTTTGTCTGTGCATAGTCCCTCCTTTCCTTTTAAGGAGGGACTGCTCACAGTCTAGACTGGAACTGAAAGTAAATCTTCAATCAACTATATCAACTGATCAGAATTTTGCATTGTGTAGACAATGCGTATTTCGTTTCTTGATGTTTTGTCTGTGCACAGTCCCTCATTTCCTTTTAAGGAGGGACTGCTCACAGTCTAGACTGGAACTGAAAGTAAATCTTTTGGAAGTTGTACTAGAGTATTGCATCATAATCAAACATTATTACAACCATTGAGCCACATATGATTTCACTGATTTTAATATTTGTTATAATAATACAGTCCTTGAAACTCCCGAAATTTCAGGTCAGCAAGAAATTGCCGATCTAAAAGTGACAATTCTCAATCTAGGTCGGCACATATTTTCAAAACAAATAGAAAATATCCAAATGAAAATTTAATTTGCTTGCTGCAAATATGTGTATTTATAAACAATATTGCAATCAATGCCAATAGCAAACAAAACAACTAACAAAATGTATGAACTCCAATCGAACAGTGCATGCATGTTGTAACCAAATGTTGTGACAGACCGTCACCGTACACTACTTTATTACCATATACTTTCGCTTAAATCTTGAAGCTGGACGATTTTAATACGCATTGTTTACTTTTCAAAGTTTTCAACAATGAAACTGCAATGTGACTACGCAAGCTAATGATCAAAACCTGATAATTAAAACATCGTTGCGTGTGTGAAAGATGGGTTCGCACACGGATCGTCGGATTCTGCCGAAAAATTGTTCGGATTTCGCGAATATTTTACATGGGATTTGCGGATTTATTAATACAGCGGATTGCGGATTTATCTAATATTTTGGCTCGGATTGTGGATTTTGCTTGCAATTTATGCACCTAGTATCAATGTTATGCCCCCAGGGGGAGAGGCCGGGCGTACCCTCGAGATTTGCACTAAATTTCTTGCCCCAAGTGGGGATATTTACCATTCTTCAAAGCCCGAGGGTTGGGACATTTGACAAATCTTAAACCACACTTTAAGTCGCGTGACTAGACTGACTACCGCTGACCAGTAATTCCTTGGATGCAGTTGGGCAACCACATGGAAAGCAAGCAGAATGGCGAGCGACACAAGTAGAAATAGAATTGTAACAGAATTTTTGAACGTTTTAAAGGAGAAAAACTTGAATGTTGTTGTTGAAACATTCATTGGTCCTAAATAAAATTCAACAGTCCTAATCATTCAACAGTTCTAAATAAAATAACCCTTTTAATGATTTTAAACAACATTGCTGCTCTAGCTATTCTCAACAGAATTTGTTGAGTTTGTTTATTATGTTCTATTTTATACTGTGGGGATTTGGCCCCCATGGTGGGGAATATTTCAATATTCGCCTGTATTTTGTTGCCCCATATTAGGGCATTAGCTCAAAATTTTCTTCAAAAAGTCTAATCCCCACCTATATCCCGGCCTCCTCCCCTGGGGGCTTAACATTGATAGGTGCATTAGTTCGGATCCTGGATTGTGACTTCATAGTAGAGCTTTTAGAGGATCCAAATTTAGACAAGACCATTGTTGAATGGCGAATTTTGCTTCAAATTTGGGCGGATCGGCGGATTTGTATACCCCTATTCACACACACACCCCGCCCCCCGTTTATGACTCGTTCTTTAGAAAGATTATTTGTATAGTTCATTGTTGTTTATAAATTAATCAACCAAGCGCAAAAGCCCTTGATGTAGGTTGGTGGGACCCCAATTGTGAATTGCTGCAGTGTTTTATTATTTCCATCACTTCTACATATATATTTAAAACATACTATACGACGCCTTTTAACATATAAAACATGTATATACCTGTCAGCCTTTCCCGATGTCTTGACAAACGATTTGAAATAAGGTGCGATGGCATTGCTGACAAACGAATGCAGGGTCTCGAACGGTGAATCATCGCTCAGATTTAACACCCGTAGCTGTGAGGCGATCTTTTTGTCCGCTTCAACAACTCCCGATCTTTTTATGAAACCAACGCTGATTAATTTGGGCGCAGTATATTGCACGTTCAAATGAATACTATACGTGACTCGACCGTCTCTTTCCGACTCTGTTGCACTATCCGTTCCAGAACTATCCTCCTCTTCGTCTTTTAACACGCTTTTGCTCACGATCAGTGCTCTTATTTGTGAATCTGACAAAAATTTCTTGATGCATTCGAAATATTCGGCACTGTTGCAAGCGTTTCGAAGTTCATGGCTGTTCGACTCGCCCGTTTCGCCTTCCAAAATTGCCGGCACAACCCTCACTATAAACTTTATAAAATCGCGAGCTTCAACAACAGAGGTGGACGATTGATTATCGCCACCGTCTGCCGTTGATTCCATGATGAAAGGAGAGTTTGATGAAAGGTTATTCCTCGCAAAACTAACCACTAGCTAGTTCTTTTGAATGCTCAAAACACTCAAAGATCAAACATGGCGGTGTTGTTTTATATGCCCCGCCTTCCACCCGATTCGCACATTTTCGTCGGCTTTCAGTCTGAAATAAACACGCATGCGTTGAAAAATGCTTTTCAACTCCCAGGCTCATTCAACTCCAAAATAATTCGAAGTCCATCCACGTGGTCCATCAGAGATTTTGTTCTCAAATTTAATTATTCAAGTTTCCTTCCAAGCTACCTTTAAAATTCCAAAATTGATTTATTTAAATTTAATATATATTTTCTTGAAACTTCCAAAATGCTTAAATCGACGCCTGAAATGTTCAATTTCAGTTGCCTAGTTAAACAATATTTCTCCCATCTATCCCATTCTATCCCTAGTTTTGACACGGGGCCAGCCAATCAAAAACGTTCTTATATTACATTTATTTTTAAAACAAATTTAACCTTGGTTTAAATGTCTTAACCGCACCTCTAACCCAGCTTTGAACAACGCAGTTTTAACTCAGGGTTAACTAACCGGGTTAAGGCAGGGCCTTATTTTAACGTGCAGTTCTACACAAAATGTGCAGTTCTAAACCCATTTGTGCAGTTCTTAAAACACAAATGTGCAGTCACCGGCCAAACTAACAAAAATAGCCTTAATTAAAACAGTCTTCTCATTTACTTGTTACCCTTGTGGATGCTCCAGAAAATTCCAGAAATGCTGTCATTAATTGAGCATCAAAAATATAGACGTTTTCTGGGGCAGGATTCCAGACGCTCCTATTTTCCTCACAAATCACTTACGTTCTGGGATAATGGAAAAGAAGGTAAAATTGGGGCGAGTGAAGCTACCCAAAAGAGATTAGAGTGGGAGAACCTAATATTCTTTGCTGCCTCAAATGCAAATTTAAGGTTGTTATATATTGAATATCCATGATTCCCAGTTACATGTTTTGAAACAGTTTTTGTGAGTGGTTGGGTAAAGCAAATCTTTGCCAGAACTTAAGAGCCTCTACATTCAAATTGTTAATTTTGGGGAACACCCCCTAGCTCCCGCACGTAAATCGAGTTTGTTTGGCCTTTCTCCCACCCAACCACACGATTATTCTGTCATTTATATGCAGGTAAAAAATCATTCGACCCCCTCCCCCCAGTCAAACACCCGTTGCCTTCGTAACATCCCTATATCACAGAATAGATAATAGGACCAGAAGTCGGTAATAAATCCATGTCCTCATCCTCGTCCCCAGGCCCAAGCTCGGGCGGCCCTCACAGTGGCCCTGGGTCAGGCTGTTGAGCAGTTGATTGTGATTGGTTCTTTTGCTCTAAAGGAATGTTGCAAGTGGAAAGGAAATGCGGGTTAACAATAAACAATGGCTGGCTCGAAGAGTGGCAATTCAATAAACTTGTATTAAATTATGGTAGAAATCAGATATTTACATGTAAATTTTTGCTTAAACTATGGTATGGACACATTCAAGACTTCTGGAAACAAACTACATGGATATTTGAAGGATTAAAACATCTGAAAGTTGAAACGAATTGAATGATAAAGATATATATTTTACAGTCCTACTAAAGACTATAGAAATTTATCTTGTGTATGCAACGTCTACAAGATTGTGTAAATTCGTC